ATGGACATGTCGCAAGAGCCATGTTATGCGAGGACTGACCGGAAAAATGCCACGCCCCAGGATCGGGACTTGGGACAACCGTCTTGTGCGAGCCTGCGCAATCGAAATGCACCTGAACGCTGCAGAACAGTCACTTTATGCGAGAATGTAAAGGAAAAATACCGCGCCTCAGGACTGGGACAAAAGGCATTTTGTGCGAGAATGTATATACAGTAAAAAAAATGCCGCGCCCCAGAACCAGGACAACAGTTTTGCGCGAGCCTGCCCGGTCGAAATTCGCGAGCCATTTATGTCAGAATTTGCAGCAAAAAATGTCGCGAAGTTTGTGAGCCCGCGCAATCGAGATGCACTTGGACATATCACAAGCACCAGTTTGTGCGCGAATTTGCAGCAGGACAAGTGGAGCGCCCTAATCTAACCCCGGCCTTAAAATTTACCGTAAGAACCCCTCAGTGTGCACACCGGGAATGTGTTCAAATGCAGGGGATGTCGCAGGGTGCCTTCAAAACATTGGAAGAAGACAACAATGCAATGTGTTGCTGCGTTGTTAACAGTAAACCCACTGCAAATCTCAATGTTGCACGTTGACGTTATAACCTTTGAAGCTAGCAATGCGAAAGTTGGCAACAATGCAACCTGTTGTGATGTGAGCTATGTAACTATGATCCTCCAGAAAATCTGAGGTCAACAGCTACAGCTACATGCTCTTACCAAGAAGATACGCAGAGAAGAAAGCTAGAAGGTCATCCAGGGATTGGAAAGAAATGACAGAGATGCTCACAGGCAAAATGCTGCAGCCCGGGGACAACCGTTTTGCGCACGCCTGCGCAGTTGACATGCACATGGACATCTCAAAAGAGGCATATGTAAGACTTTACAGGCGAAATGCCGCAAGACCAACACCGGGAGAACCGTTTTGTGCGAGCCAGCGCAGTCGAAATTGTCGAAATGCATATAGACATGTCAGAAGAGCCATTTGATGCAAGAAACGTGACAGGAAAAATGCCGCGCCCCAGGCCCGGGACAACCGTTTTGTACGAACCCGCGCAGTGGAAATGTACATGGACATCTCGGAAAAACAATTTTATGCGAGAATTTACCGGGAAAATGACTCAGACGCAGGACGGATGGAGCACCCTGATCAAACCTCGGCCTTTACGCTTACTGTAAATTGCAAGAACCCATTAGTGTGAAAGCACTGTTTTTGGGGAGAAAATTGCCCGGAATAAAAACGATGAACGAAGCGCACGTTAACTTGTGGTATTGCAATCCAAGGCCAATAAATTATATAGTCAAATGTTGACATATCATGTCAGCATACTGTTTTTTTCCGCTGTCAGTCAGGATTCCTAAATACAATCACAAATCCACAAATCAATTTCGAAATGCTCCATATGAATTTGTAAATTTCTGCTGGACATGGTAAAGAGCAAGATATGAGTTGTGCATCCGCTATCTTTAACGAATCTACGCCGCGCTCGAAACGTCCACCAAATCCAGCACACTGGCAAACATAAACCGTTCTAACGCAATGCTGCTGTCATCAGCATTCCTTGGCTTGCGCACGTGCTTTAAGCAATCTTCCAGTCCGGCTTAACCACCACACACAAGTGTGCTCCACTGTACATAGGCGTCTAGCGCATGTCGATTTCAATGCTCCCGCCTTGTTGGCGTCTGTCCCCATCGTGACTGAATCATGGCTTTGCATATGCTGTCAACAATATGCTAACGCTGGCAAAAAAGAAGGCGCACCAAAATGCAGTCAACCATCAAAAAGGTGGTGAAGGTTGATTCTATTCAACTCCGTCCTGTCCAGGCTCAAATCTCCTATTTGCTTACATCCATCACACTGGGTGCTGTGACAGCATCTGACAGCATAATTCTACTTCCGATTTTTCATGTGGGTTTTTTTTCCGCGAGCTTTTCGCCTGGGCAAACTTCACACCCCAGCCTATGCAGCACTAAAAAATGCTGAAGCAAAAAAAAACAAGAAACGTAGAAACAATGAGTATTCAATGCAACACGTGGGGGGTTCTCGCACATCGATCTCAATCGCTCCTGAATACATCCAAGTTGCACATCCTTGAAGTCAGTGTGACTTTAATGCTCTGGTCTGATTCTGATATACAGTACAGTATGCATTCAGCTCCAAAATTGAAACCTCTGCCTCCCTCAATGGTTTGTGGTATATAGGGTATGGATTATGGTCATCAATCCCATTTCATAGGAATCCAAACCTAATGGATATATAAATCCCTATGAAAATGGATTCATGACCATCCCCCAATCACCAGTTATAAGTTGCTCTATCATCCCAATTAACTATAGTTGTAAACCCAGGTAGTCGCGTATTAAAAATTCCAACTAATTTGACCATGACACAGACGTCTCCCTCCTTCCCTTCCGAACAGCGTCGAATCATCGGATTCGTCTTGTGCTGCACTGGCTTCACCGACGACGGGGAACCTGCACTGGAAACGGAGCTCTACAGTAACCTCTCATGTCTGTGGGTATGGACCTTTGGGGTAGGTCCATTTGTGGCCAGTATATATATATGGGCTATAAATACAAATATAAATATATATATATGGATGTATGAATGTGTGTATGTGTGTATGTATGCTATGTGTGTTATGTATGTTATGTATGTTATGTGTGTTTTGTGTGTTATGTGTGTTATGCATTTTCTGTATGCTATGTCTGTTATGTCTGTTATGTATGTTATGTATGTTATGTGTGTATGTATGGATGGATGGATGGGTGGATGGATGAGTGGATGGATGGATGGATGGATGGATGGACGGACGGACGGACGGACGGATGGATGCATGCATGCATGCATGCATGCACGCATGCATGCATGTATGTATGTATGTATGTATGTTCTGTATATGGATATATATATATACATTATATGTATATATGTATATACATTATATGTATATATGTATGTCTGTCTGTCTGTATGTATGAATGTACGTATTCATGGATGGATGCATGTATGCTATGGTACGGTACGATATGGCATGGCATGGCATGGCATGGCATGGTATGTATGTATGTATGTACGTATGTACATATGTATGTGTGTCTATGTTATGTATGTATGGATGGATGGATGAATGGATGGATGCATGCATGCATGTATGTTATGTAAATGGATATCTATTTATATAAATATACATATATATATATATACATTTTATGTATGTATGTCTGTCTGTCTGTATGTATGTACGTGCGTATACGTACGTACGTATGTATGTAAGTTAGTTTGTTAGTTTGCTAGTTTGTTAGTTAGTTAGTTAATTAGTTAGTTAGTTACTTTGGTTGTTAGTTTGCTAGTTTGTTAGCTTGTTAGATAGTTAGTCTGTTAGTTAGTTATTAGTTAGTTAGTTCGTTACTTAGTTTGTTAGTTTGTTAGTTCGTTAGTTATGTCAGTTATGTTAGTTATGTTCGCTAAGTTTGTTAGTTGTTAGTTAAGTTAGTTGTTAGATATGTTAGTTATGTTAGTTATGTTAGTTATGTTAGGTATGTTAGGTATGTATGTCTGTATGCCTGTATGTCTGTATTCCTGTATGCCTGTATGTCTGTATGTCTGTACGTCTGTAGGTCTGTATGCATGCATGCATGTATGCATGTATGCATTTGTGCATGTATGCGTGCATGCATGCATGCATGTATGCATGTATGTATGTATGTGTGTATGTGTGTATGTTATGTGATGTTATGTTAGTTATGTTATGTTCTGTTATGTTAGTTATGTTCTGTTATGTTGTTCTGTGATGTTATGTTATGTTATGTTAGTTCTGTTATGTTAAGCTATGTTATTGTTATGTTTTGTTTTGGTAGTTATGTTATGTTATGTTTTGTTATGTTGTGTTAGATATGTTACGTTGTGTTAGATATGTTATGTTACGTTGTGTTAAATATGTTATGTTATGTTATGTTTTGTTATGTTGTGTTATGTTGTGTTGTGTTGTGTTAGATATGTTACGTTGTGTTAGATATGTTATGTTACGTTGTGTTAAATATGTTATGTTATGTTATTGTTATGTTTTGTTAGTTATGTTATGTTATGTGATGTGATGTTATGTTATGTTATGTTTGTTATGTTATGTTATGTTATGTTGCGTTATGTTATGTTCTGTTATGTTGTGTTATGTTATGTATATATATACATACATACATACATACATACATACATACATACATATATATATAAGATCGTGAAAATATCTAAAAGCCCGGTTTCCTGCGCATGCCCACGGATCTCGCATTTTCCCGTGCCTGGTGCGCCTACGGGACCTGGCAGCGGGATAACCCAGATTTAGCCATGGGTCAAAACCCTGGTACCTTGTAGGTACCCTAAGTCATGGCAGCTTAATTAATGATATGAATGTTTATTCATGTTTATTCCAACCAGATATGGAAAAATCGGTTTTGACTTATCATGACTTCCCCGCAAGAACATGTTATTTTTTAGGGGGCTATACGCCTTTTTTAGACCAAAAAAAACATGTTCTTCGAGATTGTGCAGGTTGTGATCTAAAAAATGGAAATTCTTCATGCGCCATGCTGGTTCACTGAAGGGGAAGACACCCTTGGAAGATGGTGGGAAGGGCTCTACAACCTCACTTCGTGCTACAGAAATGGAGATCCGGTTGGTGGTTACGCCAATCCGAATTTAACACCACCAAGAAGAAATGTGAATGTATATATATAATATATATATATAGGCCTGTGAATGACCATAACATAATTGGCATCACCCCGAAATTTTACTAATCTCGCTTGCATGTACCATCTACTCAGTAAACATCTTGCAGCAGCATCTGTCTCAGTCATGAACGTTCAATCATTTCTCCCCCAAATCTGTTGTCGTTTATTGATTGTCTCCTTCAACATCTCCCATTGTGGGGTTGCACCATGTTGCACTCCTGAAGAACTGACATGGGAACCAAAAAATATATAAAAAACTGCGACTTGATTGTCTCGAGCCTGAATCGATGGTTGTGCCTACCAGCAAGTCCACTTCTTGGCTCCCTGACCGGAGACCGGGGGACTTCGGCTATGGCGAGCCAGTGATCTTCCAGTGCTCAGGATACAGCGCAATAGACGGGTTTAAACCCACTGATACGAATGGACTTGCTCACCAAACATAGCACCAACTGCAATGATGAGCCGCTACTATTTACAAATGGAGCCTTGGAATCCCAATTCACTTCCATTTACTTACCTTACTTACCTCCAATTGTGGGTGGTGTCAGCATCTTCGAACCCCAAAAAAATCCTGTACAGTATATGACCCAAGTTATCATCAAATCAATTGCATACGTTTGTTTGGATCCCAGGATAGAATCCCAGGAATTCTTGTCTGACCCATGTTTGCGGCCCATCTCATCTCCCTGGGCCACCTTTCGCGATCAACGCCGTGGGGGGCAAAAAGCACTTCGGGTTGCCATTGTTTTGCGAAGGGCCACACATCATGCTGCAGAAGAAATCCACCTGACCAAGTTGGATGAAGGGGGCATCCTGGTTTCTCATCATTCTCTCTATGAAAAATGTGAGAATGGAGATGATAGGCCCATTAGTTTGGCCTATCACAATGGGATGTTTTAGCCTTAGATTCCCCATCCAAAGCAGTGACGAAAATTACTTTACTTCGAGTTATCCCCACCATGACATTTATACATTTTGTTACTGGCAAACCTTCTGGCATTCTATCTGACATACCTTCTGGCATTTTATCTGGCATATCTTCTGGCATTCTATCTGGCATATCTTCTGGCATTCTAGCTGGCATATCTTCTGCAATCTGTTCTGGCATATCTTCTGGCACTCTATCTGGCATATCTTCTGGCATATCTTCTGACATTCTATCTGGCATTCTGGCATCTGGCATTCTATCTGGCAAACATTCTGGCACTTTATCTGGCATACCTACTGGCATTCTATCTGACATTCTATCTGGCATACCTTCTGGCATTCTATCTGGCATATCTTCTGGCATATCTTCTGGCATTTTATCTGGCATATCTTTTGACATTCTATCTGACATATCTTCTGACATTCTTTCTGGCATATCTTCTGACATTCTGTCTGGCATATCTTCTGACATTCTTTCTGACATTCTTTCTGGCATTCTATCTGGCAGATCTTCTGACATTCTATCTGACATCTTTTCTGACATTCTTCCGGTTGAGGTCCGGCAGTGCCCACTGCGATCTGGAAGTCGCGGTTGAGGTCCGGCAGTGCCCACTGCGACCTGGAAGTCGCGGTTGAGGTCCGGCAGTGCCCACTGCGATCTGCAACTCGCGGTTGAGGTCCGAGTGACCCTGTGCATGTTCTTTTGGTTGGCTTGAATCATATTCATGGCCCTATGCAAAAATTCCTTATCCGCTTTGGGGCCCCAAAACTATATATATGCATTCCCAATCTGCAAATGTTATGCATTTTTGAATGTATTGCTGGGGCACCCCTTATGCCTAACAACAACTCATGAATATTATAGTGAAAACTTGCAATTTCACCATTGGCATACACAAATCTCTGGCACCGTGAGCGTGAAGGGCATCATCAGCAGAGATCCGAACCTGGGGGCTTTGGGGGCTTTGGGGGCTTTGGGGGCTTTGGGGGCTTTGGGGGCTTTGGGGGCTTTGGGGGCTTTGCGGCTTCCCAACATGGGGTGGTAAACCAACAAAAAAAGGGGGTCACGGTGGCAAATGATGGTAAACTTTAAAGCACAAGGTATACCGGATACCGACCACCACAACTTTGTGAAAGCTGTGAAAGCGTTCAAGAACTACAACGGGTGAATTGGGACCTTCGATGTACTGTATGGCGGACCAAGATAATTTCTATCTTTGGTCTCTGACCACAGAGTTTCATTCATGTTCCCTTGTAATCTCTGCCAGAAAAGAAACCACTCATTGGTGCGATCCCTTCGAACACGAGTTCTACATTCTGGCAATCAGGTTGCTAACGAGCCAGGGCTACACCTTGCCCAAAATATGGTCCAAAGTGATTCCTTCTCGATCGCAGTCACTGGATGATCCATACTGTGCCGGGGTTCTTGTTCTCGAACTTTTGCTGCTAGGGGTGCCTTTGTCCCACGAAATATATGGGAAGCTTGGTTCCGAAGATATCCCGTTTTCTCCAACTGCATCGACGACCGACACCAGTTGCATATACGATACATACATCTGATTTGAGTTTGCCTAAGTGCGCACCTGCCATAGCGAATTTTCTGAAAGCTTTTGCTGATCAGTCACTTGCTGTCGTGGAGGTGCCAAAGGGGCCACCGTAGAGGCATACGCAGCCTGTCTTTCTAGTTGATTTGATCTCCAGCTTGCGTTTTTGTTCCTCGCTTCCAACATCTACCATGGGTTTTAGTGAGCTGTCAGCTGGTTAGCAGGTGTCGTTCCCGCCTTGAATTCGCCTCGTCTCAAGCCTTACCTGGTCCTTTCTTGGGTTCACTTTCGGCCTGCGTCGCCAAGTCGCTTTTTGGATTTTTAGGGCCCCATCTGGTTCCTGTGTCCTCCACCATGTTTGGCCTTTTTTCGTCCGGGCAGTCCCTAAGCCAAGTGGGTTCCTGATTGGTCCTTGATGGTCCTTATGCCAGATTCCATGGTGATAAAATCAATCTTTTGGTGCTGCGAGCGAGCGTGCATTTTCATTCAGCCGAGCTTAGCACATGAGCCTGCAAGGCACGAAAACAGAAAGAGGAGGAAAAAAGTGTATTTTTTTCCAATTCTTGGTCAATACTAATCAGCCATTGCCATTTTAGTCCTCTGGATTCTCCTCGAGTCTAGATTCTAGATCCCATCGACCAATGTGGGTGGACACAACGTTCGAACTTGGAGGGTAAAAATCAGGAAAATTTGGGGTACAACCAACAAACATGAGGGCATAAGTAACATCAAGTAACAGTTAGGTGGCAATGGATCAGAATGCGATTGACGCCAAAAAAAACACAGATGTTGTTGTCCTGTTTTCGGGCATTCAAGTTTGACCGAAGCCATGATGCCATTGGGGGGTTGAAACCATGACCTGTTACACAAGTCTCTGAAGAAAAAATGCTCAGAAACAACCGGGCTGACTGGTAGTTCCAGCAAATCCCACACGGAAAAACTGAATTTCCAGAAAATCCAAACCGAAAAAAAAAAAACTGAATGTCTAGGAAATCTCAAATGAACAAGTCTGAGTTCCGACCATTGCAACAACCATGGTTCCCTAGCAGGTCCATCTTGGTAACCCAGGCAGCGCTCAGAAAATGTTGAGACCCTTTGGTGTAGTGCAGTGTTTATTGTCATTGTCAAAAATCTAGTTTAATGTGTGTTTAACTACCAATGGCAATTGTGATGACAATAAATATGACAACAAAATTGTATCATTATTACTATAGCAATCTGATTTCCATCAGTCTGCAATCCACCACTCCCTGACCATTCTCAGGTCATAACATTTCTTCGCAAATCGCTGCATCAGCCTCGTTTTGAGAGTCTGAAAAAAATCTGCATAAGATTGAGATCAGTCAAATTTGAATACCACGAGATTTGATGGGAACATTTCTACAACTGGCACAGAAATGGGCTGTTGGGCTTTGAAATTTTGGCCCATCAAATCACACGGTAAATCATAGGTCAACATCACCCCGGAGTCCACTAAATTTCACCAGAACTTTTACTCACCGGCGGTCACCGAGAAGTGACCCAAGTTCGGTGATTAGCGGATTCCCTTAAAATGAGGCTTGGTCTCTTTTGACGTGAACAGCAGGGCTGTTCAGGTCACCGCTACTCAAACTTGGCAATGGAAAATCCCCTTGCGGTTTTTAGGGAAAACATCTGTTTTTGTGGAAAGAAATTGAAGCGGGTTCCCCCTGCCAGGTTGGAGAATGGCCGTATGCAGCGGATCATCTTCCAAACCCCTCCCCGTACTGCACCAAGGGGCTGAAAGGCTGCAATCCACTGCAAAGGTGCCAGCATCTGGCGGGACCCAAGCACCGTTTTTTTTTAAGCTTGAAAACCACAGGGAAAATCATAAAGAGGTGTCATTTATGATATTATATGATATTTATGACCAATTCCTGGCTATCTTGCATGTTCTTGTTGCAGCAGGTGCCTTGTCGTGGATCATCCATTTGGGATTAGAAGTCCCGTGGGGTTCATCAACCTAAAAACCATCCACGACTGGACCAAGTTGTGGTGAAGTGCCTGGCGTTTCGGTCGAAAGTCTCCCTCCAAAAAGTTGCTCAAACACTAAAATCTTGGATGGTGGAACTTACAGAGGGAAGAACCCCAAAAAAAACATTATAAGGAACCTGCGTGAAAATCCGATCAGCCAAACCTGAAGGCCGTTTTGGGATGATTCTCCTGAGAAAACAACATCAACTAGATTGAGGTTGTTTTTTTACCCAACGCATTCGAATGGAACATCATGGATACATATCACAGGAGAATTTCACCACGATTCCCAGTATAACCAGCGATGTCACCGTATCTGTTTAAGTCCTTCCCCCTAGTATGGAACAACACCCTCCATAAACCATGCTTTAGTAGGGGATTAAAAACATATATATATGTTTGGGACCCTAGACTGGGGGTGTTTCATATTAACAACAAATGATAAATGGGATTATCAACTATCCAACTTTAACCACGATGATTTTACAGCAACGTTCTGAGCGGGGGGATGGGATCAATACCAAATTGGACATAGTTGAGCCGAAAAAACCGTTTCATCCCATATCCCAGATTCACCCTAGCTTTAATGGTGAAAAATCATGTTAAATCCAGATAGGAACAAGACATGGGATGGGACCCACCTCCATCCGCGCAAAAGTTGATGATCTGCTGGCTGGGATCGTTGTTCAGCTGGTAGGTCATAAATGGCCTCCAGATTGGACGTGCGAATGTTGAGGGCATAGATACAGCAGATAGGCACATGATGACACATGGATGGATGGATGGATCGATGGATGGATGGATAATACATGGGTAATACATGGGTAATACATGGGTAATACATGGGTAATACATGGGTAATACATGGGTAATACATGGGTAATACATGGGTAGTACATGGGTAATACATGGGTAATACATGGGTAATACATGGACAATACATGGGTAATACATGGACAATACATGGATAATTAATACATGGATAATACATGGATAATTAATACATGGATAATACATGGATAATTAATACATGGATAATACATGGATAATACATGGATAATACATGGATAATACATGGATAAATGGCTAAAGAGACCAAGAAGCAAAGAGATAAACAGGTAGACGGGACGAGACGAGACAGAGACGAGACGGGACGAGACAGAGACGAGACGCGACGCGAAGGGACGGGACGAGACGAGATTAGATTAGATTGGATAAATAGATGGATAGATAGATTGATTGATAGATAGTTGGGATCTCAGGGACTTCTCAAGGAATATCAATCAGAACCATGGTCATTGAGGACATATCAACCGAAATGCAAACTGGAGATGTTGCCTGATGAAACCAGACTTTTACCTGGGCTACATATTATTGGTATCCCCCCATTCTTGGACAACCACATAATATCATATATATATATATAATTTATATGTTTGTATATCATATATGTAGATGCAACTTATAGTGAAAAGGGTTTTATCATGCTGGACATGTTTTGACTTGGGGCAATGGGGCCAACGTGGCTGTGACATGTTTTTATCCACGGCACAGGGGCTTTTAGCTAAACAGAAATGACAGGTAAAATATGGTAAAATGCCCTTCGGAATGATATTAGTGTGGGAAATCTGCAAAATCTGGGGCCTTCGTGCCAAAGCTGCTTCTGATCTTCCTGTTGTTTGTTGGTTACATCCCAACCCTTTATAACTCGATGACCCTTGTTTTACTTCATGTTGGATATCCCCATTGCATGCCATGATGAAATTACCAATTTCTTGTGCCTTTTCTTCGATCTACCAAGACACTTGGCGTTGACAGGATCCAATTCTATCAGAGTGAAGGGATTGTTGGGTACCTCTTCTGTGTACCTTGGTTTTCGCGGCTTTCTCGACCCAGGGGAAAGAAATCCAGGGAACTTTCTCCGATTATGGATGGACAAAAACAAGGCAACCGGTTGACTCGGCGCCCTTGTAAGGGTGACGAATTAGAAATTCTGATTTTTGAGGCTAAGAGACAAAATGCTGGTATTTGCAGGAGTCGTCAAAAAATGTTTGCAACATGGACATTCATTTCGATTGGCAGGCGTGTGACTCAAGAGTGAAAATTTGCGTTTCGCCTGCGCAGTGACTCGATTTTGCTTTTCAAGGGTCAAAAAAAATTAGAAATCCATGATTTTCAATCGTCCGAATCATATCAGGCCGACATTCACTCATCCAGTTTTTTCCTCTTCTCGACGCTTCAGTACGAGAGCGCTTGTGGCAACGCAGAAGCCAGAGACTGCAACAAGGCAGCATTGTGACGCCATGTCCAGCTGTAGGAGCAAGTGTATCTTTTTTTGTACACTTGTTGATTTTTTGTGGAGCATCGACATAGGTCGCCATTTTCAGAGGTGTTTCCATGTTCCATCCATTTGTTGAGTACCAGCAACAATGGTTCTATAGGATTTACCCCACAAACGACCTCGAAAATGATAAGTCTTAGAAAATATATTTTGTTTGTGGTTGACTTGGGCCATCTTGAATCTTTTGTGGGGATAATCCTTGGTACCAAAATAGGTTCGCGCAAGAAATCCAACAAAAGCGCGTCAGAAAGCATGTGCAACATGTCCACAACGGCAACATGTTCCGTAACGTAAGAGAAGTGCTCGTCAAGGACGTTAATACCCCCCCACCCCCCTTAATGATCATACGACAGCATGCGCAACGAGTACGTACTGAGTACATGTTCCGTAACGTAAGAGAAGTGCTCGTCAAGGGCGACGCTAATACCCCCCCCACCCCCCTGATGATCATACGACAGCATGCGCAACCTGTACATGTTCCGTAACGTCAGAGAAGTGCTCGTCAAGGACGTTAATACACCCCCCCACCCCCCTGATGATCATACAACAGCATGTGCAACATGTTAAAGATGCCAAAAAAAATCAAATCCTATACCCCATTTCGGAAAGCCTCATTTTTGAAAATTGCAACCCTTCCAAGGGATCGTAAATGGCACATCTCAAAATTAACAACCCTTCCAAGGGCGCCGTACCAGCCGCGTGCCAAAAACAACCATGGGTGTCTTGTGACTTTTGTGGTTGGAAACTCACCTACTATAGCGTCCCAGAACAGGGGAAGACTCGGTCTTTCCTCCAGAACATTAGCTTTCACTTGGTTAAATCAACATTTGTGCTGGCTAAATCTCCGTGTTTGCTAGCTAAATCACCGTTTGTGCTTGTGAAATGCCAACTGTAGCAACAGTTCAATCCCGCTAATTCAGCCACAATTTCAGGCGATAGATGACCAACCCACTGGGCGATCACACTTTACATAGTACATATAGGCTATGGGTCACCCGGTACCCTGCTAATCCCGAGCTGGATGTTCATCTCAAAATATGATACGCTGGATGTGAAAACCCCCCCAAAATACTATACAATATGAATCAATATGATACAATAGGTTTTGACCCATCCCCATACTATGGATCTACAGTATATGTGCCGGATGGCTTTTTGGGATGGGGACTGAACAACCAAGGAATTCTGCCTCCGCCTGGTGGAGTCAGGGTGTCCCAAGTACGCGTATTGTTGCCTCATCAACTACGCGTAAAGAAAGCCAGGACACGCCATGTTCATAATGAAGAAAACCACACTGTAGGCCACAATGGGAATATGGCATAAGTAGTAGATGACGTTCAGCATCCTCATGGACATTCAGGTGCAAATTTGAACATTATCGCTGTTGGTTGAAGGGAAGGTTGATCCACGAAACTATGTTCTTCTTCAACCACCAGACGGAGGTTTTCTATTGAACCAATTCTTTGGGAACTCCAAGGAAAATCACAATGTTTGGGCCTGTTTAGTACAAATCATCTCCCCTTGCAGGCTACAAAATGACGAAGAAAGAGGATGTTTGGTCCAGCAAGATGAAGTGGACTGGAAAGTCAAATGAATCGATTGGAGGCATCAGAAGAAACTTCTAACTGGCTCCAAACCCAATTGGATGAAGCTATTCGCCAAGAATAAGCCATGTGAACACGTGAAAGCGACAAATGTGCACTTTGCTGCATGAAAGGCATGTATGTTTCTATTTCTATACTAATTATATATATATACGTACATGTACATATAGATATACAAATATGTGCAGATGTGCATGTACATAGCTGTATGTGTATATGTATATTTATATATATACATACATACATACATACATTAATTACATTACATTACATTACATTACATTACATTACATTACATACATACATACATGTGTATGTGTATGCATACACATACATGCGTATGTGTCACGTACATAAGTATATCATTATTGTGTGTATGCATACTACGTTGTTTTATCTACCATATCCCATACAATATGTATATATATAATTATGTGTATATATATATATATATGTGATATGTCCCTCAACTTGAAATGACCTTGGGCCCGCAAGCCGTCCAGGGTCCTGTTCTCGATGATGACTCGCTTTGGGAGTGACAGCTTTGGGAAAGGAAGGAAGTCATAAATCATGGCCGACATGGCTCGTTGGCAAAAATCACGTGGTGATTGGGGCTGACATGGCTCGTTGGTGATGTACCAATGGACCATAATGGACCAATTGGGCGCGAATATCGTTTGGTCAATGTGCATAACTTGACCAACAAAACACCTTTGACCTTTAGCTGGTCGACCATCCCAAAATGGGGCTTCAGAGATGCAGCAAATTGCAAGCGTATGTCTTTTTTTGAGAAGATTAAGACTTGCAATTTTGTAGACCCAAATGAAAAATGACAGCTGAGAGTTCCCCAGTTCCGAATCGCCAAACTGTTTGAGCGTCAATTTGAGGTCAATTCTTTGGGGATCCGTGGAAAGCTATCGCCCATTTTTGCCTGGTTGCTTGAACTGGGTAGCTCGGTTTCAAGTCGGGATTCTCACTGTTAGGGCCATATGTTCTCGTAACATGTATATATATACATATATATATAGCACACATATATATATATAGCACATATATATATATTATTATGTGATGTATAATATATATATATATTATATTAGTGTATATATATATACACACATATGTGTAGCCCTTGATTCATGAGCCAGGAATCTTTATCTGGGGTTGACATCAGCCAACCGTGACAGGGCATTGTTTCTTGTGGCGAAGTTGCTCAAATCGCTGGGGATGTGAATTCATGTGAATGAACCATTCCATAAACCCCCATTGATGTGGTTTTCTATCATGGAATTATCGGTATTTGAAAATGGGTATTGAATGGTATTAATCATGGTATTACTCATTACGGTATGAATCCATGGTATTAAATTATATTAAATTTATCCATATCGTGATCCATCTCCAAAATTCAACTGCCCCGGCCATGAAGGCATCTCCCTCGTCCATGAGCAACTGCCTCGATACAGATGGAACCACTGGTGGGACTCGGCCAGAACCAGCCACAACAAACAAAACTGGTGAATCAGTGAATGTGAGGGTCTCACTGGGTCAATTTTGGATTTCAGACAAGAAAAATATGAAGAGCTTCGACGAAGCGCCAAGAAAAGGCACAAAAGGTCTGACGACGAAAGCCGAGTTTTTTTCGAGTTTCAATGGGACCTGGCCAACTTGGGCTCCAAGCGTCAAGTGCAAGATTTGCATGAAGCTTTCTTCTGAAAGAGCCGGATACCTCGGAAATCCAACCCTAAGGGTCCTAGGAATGCAAAAAAAATAGCCCGAAAAAGAGCTTGCCAAGCATGAAGAAGTTTCACACATGTTCACACCATCCATGCAAAATTGACATACGAATCGATAATCAAATTATATCACCCAGAACTCATTGGTCAACGACCAGTTTTTCCAAACTTGGGGGCCTCAATTGCCAATTTAGCAGCTTTCGGGGGGACCCCTGCATTTACAAAGTTTGGCCTTCCATATTTCAGCACATGAATTCAATATATGTCAATCATTTCAGCATATTATTTCATCCAGTGAAACGCTCCCAACCCTAAGGTCTGTGGCTGAAAATCCAAAGTCATCAGAACCAGCGACACCTCACAGCCGGCCACTTGCAGACTGCTTGGTGCAAACAACAAATACCCAAAACATCCCAAAACTCAGCACTTGGAGCTGCAGGTAATTAATGGGTGTAACTTAGTGTAACCATTGAGTGATAACTCAAATAAATTGGGACATAAGCCCCAATTTAGGCATGGTATGGCCATAGAATGCCTATGACATAAACCTCGCAGATTTGATCGCAAAAGGTCTCAATCCCTTTTTGCGCGAACAGGTGTTCCCCACTAATATGGACCAACACCTCTGGAAACCATGGTAGAAAGTAGGTGATAAAAACACATAATTGGGACCATAGAATGGGAGTGTTTAATATTAACAACGGATGGGATTATCAATTATCCAACTATTGATCACGATGATCTTTAAGCAATTTTCTTGATATGAACCATATTTACATATATTTACCATCTGAATAGGGATGGGATTCATAATTACCAAATTGGATATAGTTGGTTCTATATCAGTCTATATTCTATATCTCATTATATATATATCCCATGTTCATGTAGAAATCCCTAGATTTCATGGGAGCATCTTCAATCCCAATATTTACAGGGCATACATTTCATCATGCATCAGTACCACATCTCCCACCCCGGCGACACATCTCCCACCTGCTGCTGCAGGCTCTGCCAGACGTTCCGCTTGCTCGCCACGAGCTCGGTGTGCACGTGTCGCAACAACTGACCGGCTGATGGGGGCAGGGAACGTTTTCGGCACCGTTGGCCGGGCGGTTTTTTTTTTGAATGACACTGGGCCGGGCATGTTGTTGAAAAAACTCAGAACTTGGCACAAACACCCCGAAAAGCCTGGATCAAGGGTAATTTTTACTTGTGAAATTTAGCACTCAGTTGTAGGGAAACATATCTTGAGTGGCAAGATGATGATGGGATTGACTAGATAGGTGAAGTGCTTTGAAAGTGATTGAAAACGGTCCCTCTTTGGGTCCCTCTTGTGCTGTATCCATTGATACTCCAGAAAAATGACCCCATTCGACTTAGATACGGTCAAATTCCAACTTCATACACCATCACAGACCTTGATTTCAGGGGTAGACCATCTGATGGTTGAAAGGAGCCGAAGGTTTTCGATGGTTTTCTGGCCATCCCCATGGTGAAATGTCCCATTTGAACACCGCACCTCACGAAACGAGGCCTCGTTGGGAGCCAGCTCCTCTTCAGCCGCCTGTGAAAAAAGGGGCCTTGGGCCATCCTGATGTCCAAAAATGGACTTGTAAAACCATGCAATATATATATATATATATAGGATGTCTGGCAGGATGTGCGACATTTCCATACATTTCCCCTGTCAATACTAAGAATTCATAGTGAAAATTTAGTGAATTTTTAAAAAAAAGTTCAGCTCAAACGACCTTTGCACTGTCTGTTGGAAGCCCCGATTCATCCCAAATTTAAGGCTTTCCAGTGGCACAGTGGCAGGATGGCCTGGCTTCGACAAAGGTGCCAAGCACAGAGAAACTGATGCCGATACCTGGCGTTCCAAAAAATTGACCAAAATGGCGTTCCAAAGCCAGAAAATCCATGGATTGAATATGATTTGAAGGTAACATCATTGAATACGAGGCATAAATGGATTGAATAATATTGAATCTGATGATTGGTTTGTGAAAAATTGTGATTTGCTACTGGATCCCCTTTTTCACCAACTTTGAAAGTGTATCTGACACGAACTTTTGCCAGCTGAAAATCATGGCACCCTGACAGTTGGGATCTTGCGGGCTTCATTGCTCGACGAAAATTGGGATTTGTTTTGACCGATATCTGGATGGATGAAGATCCCAGCATAGAAATTTCATGAAATTTCCACTTGATGTTCGAACAGCAGAGAAGCTGATGTTTAGAGCTTTTGTTGGTTGATCCTTTTCCCACTAATTCCTACTATGTAGTACCCATTGCCATGATCCTGGTCCCAGATTCCCTAGACACGGGGGCACAGGAAGTTGCAGAGATGTTCATAGAGCTGCACAATGCAAGCTACCACGTGAGCTGGATCCTACAGCTAACAAAAGTGCTGAGAGAAGATCATTGGCGGGTCCTGGTAGCCCGGGACCCTGGTGAACATCAAAATAACTCGAACATGGATGTTCGTCCTCCCCAAACATAGTGTGTGTGTGTATATATATATATATAGAGAGAGAGAGAGAGTTAAGTTATATCCATTCTAAGGGGGGCCCTCTACCAAATGCCAATCCTGGGTCAGATATCAGACCGTGCAGTCTAGAAAAAATCTCAGCATGTTTCTTGTTGTGCCAGGTTTCTGGCTCTACAAAATCCAAACCTTGGGTTTAATCCATCATAGCATAGGCTTTAATCCTTTTCCCTTGAGTTCCAGGGACTCAGAAAGGCAGGTCATATTTGAAGGTCCTGGCAAATACCCAACGTCCCGTATGTATCTCTGGCAAACAACTTCCATGATTGTCATTGTCAAAAGCTATAATTAATGAATATGAGAGGCAACTTCAATAGTGACATCTTCAAAATCAATATCAAGTCCAAAAAAAATATTCATCCACTGATATTACTCCTAAATAATCCGGCCAACCAAAACTTTGAGCCATAATCCTTAAAATGTATGTGGGAGAGTCATCCCACTCAGAGGGCATCTCTCACACACACACAAATTAAGCGAGGTCTTTTTGGCTTCTGACGATTCCCTAGTGATGTTGAGCAGGATTCATCAGGATTCCATCATCAGCAACAAGATCAATCCTGATAAATCAATATAATTCCATGGAATCGGTTGAAAGTGGAACCATCATCCTGCCAAGAAAGTCACACGCCTTACTTGGGGTCTTGCCACTTCAGGATCACAATTTGACGAAGCCGCAGACCCTCCAAGATTCCCGGCCATACTCTTGCACAGCTCTCTGAGTTGAGCTCTTTTGTGCCAATCCTTGGCTGATTTTGAAGAAGTTGAAATGAAATCCACTAGGATACCCTCTGGTAATTTAACATAACTATGGAAAATCACCATTTTTTAATGGGAAAATCCACTATAAATGGCCATTTTCAATAGCGAACTGTTAGTTTACCAGAGGGTATCCTAGTGGATCTTAGAGGATCTTAGTAGATCTTGGTGGTCGGACAGTGGTTGAAACATCTTGAAACACGTTGAAATTCTATGACGATGTCTGATTGTGTGCACCTGCGCGCATCGTTGTTCGCATGATGCCAACCGTTTTTGGAGGAGAATGTTGAGCCACACTCAAAGAGTAGCTGCAGTAGCAACACTAGTACACCACATACAAATAGAAAACACGTATACACATATGTCACATATGTCACATATGTCACATATGTCACATATGTCACATATGTCACATATGTCTTGCCTTATGCACCCTGCCTCGCTTCCATATGCATTCCAGAGAGACACATCGCAGGGTTTGTCGCGACCCGAAACCCCGAAACCGATACCCCCACATCAGCTTCCCTAGAACGATTCAAAGCACATATTGGCCAGCTATTTGGATGATATGGATCTGCAAATGGGCTCCACCAAGACAAACCCCGAAACCGATCACCTCCGATTTTCGGGTTCCCCCACGGGCGACTCATTTCGGGAGGAAAAAGCCAACTGAGAAGCGCTGGTGATCACCAAGGGTACGGTTGTTGTAGATTGTCACTATTTGGGTAACCCCCCTAGTCAGGGTTGACATTAAACAGATGGATACTTGGTGGCTCATCCCACTTAGTAAGTGGGTTATAACCCCAGTTATAAGTGGATTAACCCTACTTATCCCATTTATAACTGGGGTTATAAACCACTTACTAAGTGGGATGAGCCACCAAGTAATGATGTAATGGGAATATCATGGGATATCATGGGGATGTATTCTAGTAAATATAATCTTCAGATATCTTCAGCTGGTCTCAAAATGGGGAATCATACGACCATTGAAATGGGGAAAATGACAATAACCACAGGTTTAGCTACACCAGTTACACTTGCGTCCCACCGACAAGTTTGGCAGTCGCCATCTATCTACCCTTGGCTGTCCCCACATAAAACCCTTGGCCAGGAAGTTTCTGCTTTCACTAGCGCAATTGCGACGTAGAATCTTTTTCTTTGATCCCTGCTGAAAAAGTTGTAAAAACCCCATTGCCAAAATACTACGAGCGAGCTTGCAGAAACAATGGGTAAGTAGACGCGTGGTATATTGCCTAACCACCAAAAAACTGTTCAGATCCTCAATGACTATTGACGTCCCAACATATAAAACCCAAGCAGACCCCAAAGTTAAAGACACAAGCCCTGCAAGAGCCTCTGGCTAGTTGCACTTGAAATGCCCAGTGAAATAGGTCAGAGCTAATTCAAACACCCTCTTGACAAACTTGAGGAAAATTCGAACATATAATTCCATGAGTTAGGCGTTTCCAATCTGCTTCCACAGCGGAGCTTCGTTCAGTGGATGGAGTTCTGTAGCCATTCAAAAGTGGGGTCGTCAGTTGGAGGATACCTGTCAAGGCGTGGCCCATTCTTAGATCCTTTTGAAAAGAGAATCCATCTGCGGTTTTTCTCAGAACTTAACAGCTCTATCCCCACTTTGGTGGCTTTAAACTCCCAATTTTTTGAGGAAAAATCCCTATTTTTGCTGGCGACAAGCCATCACCGGAAACATCTGGATTTCAGTGAGCTTCCCACCATACACTGCCGCGAAACCGCCACAATAAACCTCAATTCATCAACTGAGGGAAGTTCCTGGCTGTTTCCTAACATGGCTACCATGTGAAGGCACCCCAGCTAAAAATTGTTTTGTAGACACCATAAACTATAGATATGTTTGTTGTATACCCTAGTTATATACAGTATTTTAGATATACACACATAGTTATAAACGGATTTTTGGGAGCCAAAGTTTTCACCAAAAATCAGGGATAGAAAGTCCTGTGACCTTCAGTATTTTGTAAACCCCCAACAATCGTTGGAGCGCAGGTACTTCTCCACCCTTGTTCCTACGAAAATAGCCATTTGAAGGGAGCCCTCTGGCAAACGTGACCTGGAAAATCACCAAAATATGGAGGTCTCTCGGGAAAAATCAGCACCAAGCACCGCACTCACTGACGTGTCTCAGAAGTTCCTTCCCGACCGAGATGGCCTGGAAACTGAGCCGATGTTCCTCCAATCTTAAACCAGGATTGATAGGATTAATAGCGGGGATTCCTAGAAAAAACTCGCTAATAAAAGGACATCAATCCACAAAATGGTGCTTTAACTGCGGATAGAATGGGGATATGACTGGATATAGTAGGATACCTCCAATAGGACCCAGGATTATGTAGTGAACCACCAATTTGGTCATGGGGAAATACCAATGCTTATAGGAAGTTATCAGCATTCTAGATAGAATAATTTACTGCTTGGTGGTTTCAACCCCTCTGAAAAATATGAAAGTCCGATCGGATCATCATCCCAACGAAAATGGGGAAAATCATATCGCCATGTTCCAGTCACCACCAAGCAGTTTAGGGCTAACCCCCAACTGATAGTCAAGCTTTGTGAATCCAGGGTTTTTCCATTATTGGTCAGCTAACATCTCCAGATCTCAGCATCTAACGCTCGGATGGGTGAAAAGATGTTATAAAAGTGTGAGGAAATGCTACCCAATCCGATTGCACAATCCATGCCTATTCCACCCCCGGTTTTGGCAGCGTTTCAACCGCACTAAGCCACCAAGCCCATGGAAATCATGTAAGAACGGGCCCGACATAAAATAGATGCACCTGTGGTTGTTCAACCGGGAGAGATCATCCACAAAACATGGAGTAATCAACCTGTGATATTTTTTGGGGGGAGGTGGCTTCCCTTACAAAACATTATCTCGATTCATAATAAGGTTCGACCCCTTTACTAAGTGTCACAAATTGGACTACTGGGTCTTTATATGTCCCGTCATCCACTCCGTTAATCATCCCAAAAACCGGGGCTTATTTATTTCGTATGTTCTTCCTCAACCAGCATTTACCATAGTCTCGCATCAAAAAGGCTATCTATTAAAAATAAAAATTAAAAAAACTTAACCGTCATTGACCATTATTAAACGTCCAGACTTATTAACCATCAGTATGCAAGCGTTAATTATAATCTGTACTGGATAGGTATCATGACCCATCGTCAACCATTACTAACCATCATTGGTTACCATTATTGAGTATTTGAGCAAGTATCTAAGTCAGTATGTACAATAAAACTTGGCTAATCAATATAATGATTCGCAAACCGTTACCTAAATGCATTATAAACACATGTTACAATTAGTTATTAATCATATTCTGGAATGACATCAGAATATTATCTTTAATGGTTTGATACAGTAATTAATAATACTAATTAGTTTCTTAGTGTTATTGCCATGAAATATTTATCTTTATCCTTTGTAATTGGCGTGCTACAGTACTCACTATGATCACCTGATCACCTGGTCTGTCGCCTGGTCAGAGGTCGTCAGGAGACTGTAGGCCTTCAGCACCTCCTGATTTGAATGGGGATAGCATCGGATTATGATCGGATTATGATGGGAGTGTGGTGGGGTGGTGGGATATATCACCAACATTGATTGGGATTCAACCAAGCCACCCAAAGGTGAAGCCCCAACCACCAAGAACCGCGAATCAGGGTGGGTTGGCGAAATGAGTATGAATGCAGCTTGGCCCCCTTCTGTGTACGCATATTATTGCAAGTGCTCGGGTGTTCGCCAGACAACCCAAGCTGCTTTGCCCAGTATAGGCGTGTGTAACTATGTGAAAAACAGCCTTGGAATATCTTGGAATTCCATATAATTAGTTGCATGTACTGAGCTATATTCCATTCCAATACATATCCCTTACATTACATAGACCTTTTTGGTGGTAGCCCTGATGTTTTTTGTGTTGTGAGTTGTGATTGCATTTAGTACTGCACAAGACTGCCCAAGCTGAGACTGTGACCAAGCCAAAATACAAAAGATGTGCGGGCGTGGGTGTGTCTTATTGGAAAAAGGCGTAGATCTCGTGGCGCTGGATGGGATTGCCTACTCCCAAAGGCAAGCAAAAGAAGTCCCTCTGCTCTCGACTTTGCTGTTCGTATCATTGCTGTCGTGTGGCTCTTGGTGCCTTTCTGATGGAGTTATTTGCACTGTTTTGCTGGTGGTGATGGTGGGGGTTGTGGTGGTGGCAGCAGCGGCGGCTGTGGCGGTAGCGGTGGTGGTGTTGTTCTTGCTGTTGCTCTTGCTGTTGTTCTTCTCTATATTCTGCTTCTTCGTCTCTGTTTTCCTCTTCTTGTTGTCCTTCTTGCTCTTCTTGCTGCATCCGTCGTTGTGCTTGTTCTGCTTCATGATGTTGCTATTGTCGTTTGTGGTGGTGGCCGGTTTTGGCGGCAAGCGCCATGCAATGTGTAAAAGCTGGGAATAGAGAAAAACCGATAAGCAAAAAAAAGAAAAAGGAAACACAAAATAAAATATATAATAAGCGGAAAAGCAAAAAGCAAAGAGAAAAAGCAGCTAAACCAGGATCAAAACCATACATACATTGTGACATACACAACCAATACATTCCATAAAAAGTGGGCTTCCTCAGTCTACCGAAAGGGAAAGCTCTCTGACCACTCGCAGCTGAACCTTGAGTTCAAACTAAACAATACCCTCTGGTAATTTGTTTCATTGGTTTACCATAGCTTTATGGATAGGCCAATTATAGCCCATTTAATTCCATGATTTACCTATCAAAAAAGGTTATTTTCCATAATTAGCTGTTTCACTTAGAGCCGACAAAGTGCTATCCTTCTTGTCATAAAACATGGCTAGCTGGCCTCTATAAATGGCCAAAAGTGATGTTTTTTCGGTGAACTTCCAAACCAGGCGAATTGCGAACATCAGATTCATACTGCTTGCAGGCTGTGCAAATGGCAGCGGAACGGTATCAGCCATAGTAACCGCGGCCTTCCGCCAGCCCAATAACCGCCACAAGCCGATGGAATTGAATCCCCCCATGACCTAGGAAACGGTCTCATCAGAGGGCACGTACAATGCTATAGAATCACATCCCTTCAATGAACCCCAACTTGGGTGTGGGTTTTATTTCCATTTTTTGGCATCTCAAATTTCTTGCATCCTCATCCCAACCTTTTGGACGAATCAGAAACAGCACGCCTCATACTTCTCTGCGTCAAAGTCGGCACTCACAGCAGAAACCCTCAACCGATCGCTGAGCTTCTGCTGCACCAGAGTCAGATTGTTTGCCATGCCTGTGCAGCAATCTAAAATCACAAACATCAGGCTATCTGTGATCAAATCAGAAGCATCCATGATATTTCAACAGTCAACACGGGGATTCTCCAATTTGAATGGCAAGTGAAACTCAAACACCAGTCATCCCATCCCCCGATCATCAACATGGCTACCCCCCATTTCCGAAACAACCACGGTTTCGGTGTTCGTGTTGGATCGTGACCCCGCGCTTTGTTGCAAACCCACCACTCCGGGAAAGCGTCGATACTCTGCACTGGCCTCAGGATATGATATGGGTTTGCCTGGAAATGGGCCCCGCAAGAGGGTTTTTTTCGAGGAAAAATTATGATAAACCCATATGATTCATAGGGTATGGCCTGGTATGGTACGTGTGAAAAAAGCCCCCCAATTTTTTGGACAGTCTAATCCTGCAATTAGCAATTTTGAGGGTGAATTGGCAAGGGTATTTTGAAAAAAGCTTGGCTGCCCAGTATGATTTGAACTTGCGGTGTGCCCAACCAAAAAAAAAAAATCAGTTCCCAACACATAAGGCTTTGTCTGAAAATAGTGTACCCCTACACCCAATGGTTTTGCTGATCATTATCCCTACTAAATGGCTATTTTTTTGGGGGTATACCCCATTTCCACTAGGATACCCTCTGGTAAACTAACAGTTCGCTATTGAAAATGGCCATAGAAATAGTGGATTTTCCCATTAAAAATGGTGGATCTTTCCATAGTTATGTTAGTTTCCCAACGCATAAAGAATTTTCTAGTCATTCAAACGCATCTGTTGAGATTTGTGGAGATCCGTGGAGATCTGTGAAAACTTTCTGGCGCCGAGTTCTCTGACCAACGCATCGCGCAGGACGGAATGCTGCACTATGGCCTGTGAGCCATCTTTTATGGTGAGCCCACAGTCAGGTGGAAAACTGGATGTCACTGGGGCTGAAAAAATCAGGAAAGCCATGGAAACCCAGTTTTCCACCAAGTCTTTTTGGGTTTCATATGGTTTCATGTTCATGTTCCCTTGAACCAATTCTGGGACAGAGAGGATGAGCACAAAAAAAAAAGTACTGGGCTGTCTGGTGATGAAACCAGCTGTCTTCATGCCAAATCATTGAAAGGGGATTGTAAAATCACAATATATCACAATTATCTATGCCAAGACCACTGTCAAAGATAGAGAAACCACATGTTGAGCTAGAACCACCAAAAATGTGTTAAAGGTGAAGCCACATTCTGTGCCACCAACACCAGAACACGATGAAACCACAACACTTCAGGGCACTTTAGGGGCCAACACTGCTCTGATGGCAGGGCATGCAGCTTCCCAAATCTAGATCTCCACATGCTCGTCACACGAATCTTCAAAATACCATGGCATCAAATTATGGCTTCAACCCATTGAATATTGGCAAGTTGTTTTGATCCAGCGTATGGATGGAAGTGCAAAACCATAAATAGTGAAGCATCAATCATGTTTGTTCGCATTCATTGCTTAGGCTCAGTATCTGCATATGTCTACCATTCTACCTCATGTTGTGAATCATTAAGCACCAAGCAATCTCATGGGTCAGCTACAACAATCCCAAGCTTGCTGATTTTGATCAAAAAATCGTCTCCAAAATATCCCGCCCTCATTTCGCCCCATCAACCGGGTACCCATCGTGTCCTTGCCTCGGCAAAACGGTCATCATCAATACTCTCACAGAGCCGCGCGTGGATCTCCACAACGCTCTGAGCGTTCGGGCAGTGTTCCCGGTGTGGCTGGGGGAACATTCCGATTTCCAATGACCACTGGGATGCTAGCTGGTTGTCAAATCCCCATCTTTGGGTTTTTCGAATTCCAGTGGTCCAGTGAAAGCGTGTGAAAAATCATGTCAAAAGTCCCCATCCATTTGTGGATGGGATGAAAAGAACGCCTGCTCAAGAATGATGTTTTAGAAATAAGGGGTCACAAAGCACCCCTGAAAAAGTCACATGGAAGGGTTGGCATACCAGTAAGCAAGAGGTTATCATCCATATAAACAGGAGGTTGTTCCAATTGTAACTGGCCTATAGCCATGGTTACTACCCATAGACCGAGTGGCTTTGTCTGAACATTGGGATCCACTTTTTGGATAAATATGGATAAAATCCATAGAAACATCCATATCATAGCTATGGAAAATGGACCATAGAAATAGATGATTTACCATTTACCTATGAAAAAAATATAGATGATTTACCTATTAAAATTGTGAATGTTCAATAGCTATGCAGTGCTCTGCAGCGGCACGTTATCAGGCCCCAGTAATCATCATGACCTGCAGGTCATCCAGAAGGCTCAACAGCTCCTTCAGCCGTTCACGTCGACGCTGCTGTCGCCTCTTCAAAGGTCATCAAATGGCAGTGTGTCAAAACCAATGGTACCCCTGTAGTTCACATCAAAATAGCTGGGTTAAAATGGATGTTAATCCCACTAAAAATGGTATTTTCATAGGTATTGATCCATACCCAAATGTTCTAGTAAACCACATTATTCTTCCATTTTTGTTGGGGGACGGGTGCAAATAGATTAAATAGATGTGTGTTTTGCTAGACACATGGGTATGGACTGGCTACAACTTGATTGTTTCACCAATTTTGAAAACAACCTATTTAGACAACAACAAGAACACTAACAAACAGAAAGGTTGGACAGGCAACAGCGATGGTAATACCCCTTCTGTACAGAATTCTGGGTCAGCAATGTGTGTGCGCTTCCACTTCAGTGACTTCAGGTGGCGATAGAAATACTTAGGAACTGCCCCCTTTTAATCTCCATGTCCAATCAGAGTGTTGGTATTCCACATTCGATCCCAGTTTTAGTTGGTAAAAACCATGTAAAACCCCCAATTTAAACTTGGCAGTCTCCAGACATTCCAGACTTACCGGCGTCCCCGGCGTAATCTGCATAGAGCCGCGCAGAATGCCTGAGGAGGTGCAACCCAACCATGGACACAACAAATACCGCATGGGGTGTGTCTGAAAATGGGGGATGAACTCCCCAAATCGTCACTTTCATGGGGAAGATGCTGATGAAGCACTAGGTCACTAGGTTTTGGGCTGGCCTGGTTTCAGACAACCACAGATTATGGAGGCTTCCCCACCACCTGCCTTGGTCGTGAATCTGCAGTTTCCGGCGACCGTTCTTGATGAGAACACCTGATGTCAAAAACAAGCACGGAGTGTAGCCTTCTGGTCCAGCAAGGGTGGCACTGGATCTGCGGCCTCTCCAGTGCAGTCTTCACTACTCACTAGTCGGAGGCATCTGCTCTGGGGTCTGGGCCGATCAACGAAAGCTCCGTTTCGACCGATTGAACCTGCGGCGAATGGCTGGAAGTGGTGGGATAATTCTCTAAACAAACCCGTCCAACCCCCCTGGCAAATCTACAAAAGGCACCCAGCTGTGGTCTCCAAATGTGGAACCCCCTTCCATGCTTCAAACCCTTGTTTGAAATGTTTGAAACCTTATGTTATGTTTCCCATATCTTTTCATGGCCCTCCCATCGACCCATCGACTAATAATGAGACCGAGGCTGCGACCATCTGCATCCCCGAGACGAAGTCGTTGTAGTTTTGCATCACTCGGGCGGAAAGCTGGAGGTTGATCGCCTGGTCCAAACGCTCCGCCTGTAATGGGGATATGTTGTGGGATAGTGGATGGGAATCTAAGGGATCTATAACCAGCTTCCAACATTTGGAAATCTGTTTTTTTTTTGATCCGGATGATACTGGTTTTTGTGAGAGAACACAGGGACGCCTTGTCCCTTCTCATGGATCTTTTTATGCATGCATGCACTTGAGCTCTCTGATTTCTTCATAAAAAGTCACCCTCTACCCCCAAATCACTTCCCCCCCCATTCCGCTCTGGACATGTTCATAGACCATCCAACAGACATAACCAGTGGGCGACCCACGATGGCGCCTCCGAGACTGAGCTGTACTCGACGATCCTTTCCTCAATAGCCTTCGTTGTCCAGGCGAGGCAGCCACCAAGCATGGGATTTGAGCAGAAGGACGTGGAAACCAAATTACTTTACTTCGAGTGATCCCGACCCTGACACACTATTCTAACATAGCTTCTAACATACCATCTGGAAGTATATATGTAATATAGCATATCTATGTATATATTCTGACATTCTATCTGACATTCTTTCTGGCATCTATTCTGACATTCTGCATGGCATTGCATCTGGCATTCTCGCTGGCATGAGTTGGGGTCCACACTCCACAGCATCCGCTGGAGATATGGTGTTCGGGTCCAGGCCTGACCCCCTGCATCTGGAGCTGGACGAAGGAGGAGCTGTACCTTTGTTAAAATCTAGAGACCCTCACCATCCTCACCTGGCAGGTGGAGAAAATAGGGTACACCCCGAAATTTCATGAAATTCCATGGTTTATGGCAGTTTATGGGTTATATCAGTTATATCATGTTATATCCCACAATCTTGACTAACTCAAATCATGAACAATGCGAAACGATTCATGGCACAGCCCTGGATCGGTGGTAAATGAGTACATTCAGACGTTTGCTGGTGGCATGTCGATGTTGCCCAAGAAACGATCACATGTTTGTCATGTTATTCATCAGTATTTCTCTCAGCGATTTAACAAAAAAATAGGGGTACCCCCAGTCATCATCCATTTTTGTTTGGGATTTTCCATTAAAAACCATCCCACTCTTCGGGTTTTTTCGTGGAACCCCATGGTTTCATCATGTTTCATCTGGTCCTTGAGGTTCCAGGGATAGTCGAGGTCGCTCAGCTCTTTGGCCACCACATCATCTAACAGCAGGAAGCGCTCTGCCAGCTGTGGGGGATCTTTGCCTCGACGAGGCAAGGCCGAGGCAAGGCGTTTGGTGCCGAAACTCGGATGATACCCTGGTTATCCCTGGTTCATTGTATAACTTCATATCTTATCCTAGTTGTTTGAGCTAAGTTAGAGTACATCAATTTACGAGAAGCAACTTGAGAGAAGTGGTGTTTGACGCCAACGTTTGACATTCATCTGACCAATTTACATAGTTTACCATATTTTGCCATATATCCATACTAGAACAGTTGGATTTGATTTGCACCCCTTTTTGGTACTTTGACCCATTTTGATGAAGACTGTGGGACGTCAGTGGTGCCAAACTCTGGCCCAACATCCGCAGGAAAAGAATGGAAAAGAAATCGTAGATACGGCTGAGTAATTCAGACTAAATGATGGTTTATAAATGTCTATATATCATTATATATCTATATCACATCTTCATACATACATATTATATACATACATATTATATACATCACATAGATTAGTATAGTACAATTTAACTTAGTGATTCATTTCAAGTACGACTGGGCAGACTAGGCCTCCACTGGGCTGGGCACTGGATGAGCTGCTCATCGCCTCAGAACAACCCAGTGGGGGTCCTCAGGTATTTCTGGTGGCCATGGGACTCCCATGATTCAAAGTGGTTTAATAGTTATAGGAAAGTATCAATGCTAGGAATGTTCAATAATGTTCAATAATTTAAAAATAATGCTTAATGATGTTTGATAGTTATAATATTAAACAACTATGAATAATGTTTGATACTCTAGGGTAAACTATATAACATAAATACGGCAGACAATTTTTCCATGTGTGGATCATTTTCATAGGGAAACCATGGAGTTTCCACATCTAGCTTAGTTTACCCTAGGGTAATGTTTAACAGTTATAAATTCCTAGGGAAAAAATGTTTGCTACCGATGGTTGAAGATGAATCTCAGTGGCTCATCACTGTGGTTTATCTATACGTTTATCATTGTTTATTTTTGATCAATGGTGAAGTAACTGATGGAGGTTAGAGAAGCCATGATTTTTTTTTTAAAGGAATGTTGGCCAACAATTCAGGATAGTCTCGCTGGTGCCACTTCTCGCAACATACGATGCTTGCCATTTATCGCGACGGTTTTGGGAGCCATGGTTTCATAGCGGCCGAGTCATCCAGAGATTGAAATTGGGTGCCTAAACACGGCTAAAGACCACCAACAACTCGTTGGTGGATTTTACCATCTTGAAAAATATTAGTCAATGGGAAGGATTATCCCATATATTATGGAAAATAAAAAAAAATGTTTGAAACCACCAACCAGACCAACAATGAATGGCAGCAGGAAGCGTATGCTTGGCTTTGATTTGGGGTTGGGCCTGTGCTCCCCGGCCATGCTATCTCCATGGCGCGTTCTCAATGGCGCGTTGCGCCATTCTTTGTGATGTCGGGTGACCAAAGCTGGGGGCAAAGGAAACCCAAGACCAAGCAACTTCCACCAAGTGATCTGTTGAGCTATCCAGCTATCCTCACTTTTGAAGGTCCTTGAGGGGAAAACACTTTCGGAAATGATCAAAATTGAATGAAATGGTCAACGCTGCTGCTTGCATCTTAATTAATGTTTTTTGTTGCACTTCCAGCCTCGCTTTTCATGGGACTTGATGTTGCGGGCTCCGCAGTGCTTGAGCCTTCCCCACAAAGCAGGATGATTTGTACGGCAAAGTGGGTACCGAATAAACACCAAATCAACCTCCTATCCCATGAGTTTGGATGCAATGCACGAAGTGTGACAAATAAAACAAAAAAACAACAGGTACACAAGATATGATGGTCTATGTACGTACTGTATGATAAAGGTGATACAAAACTCCAAGGAAGCGCATGTCAATTCCCTTCAATTTTTTCCGGTCCTGCTGTGTGGAATTTGCATCCTGACATCCTGGTGATTTTACCCTCTGGCAGTACAAAACCACTACTGTCAGTAGGAAAATCCTCAATACGTGAAAATGTCCAGCCATGTTTGGTGATATACTGGATGCTAAAGGCTTAATTATATAATCCAAACTGCATCCTGATACATGTGAAGGGGCAAGATCTACCCAAGAATGGAAGGCTTTCTTGATAACATGACCAAAGTCTGTGGTTTTGTGGGTCAGCAAACATCTTTACCCATGTCCGACATGTCCGTCTTTCCCCATCCCAGAACTGCTTTTCAGGCCACTGGGGACTGAATCGCAAGCTCCAAGCAACCTCAGTGTCATGGGGCAAGCGCCCAGCTTTTGAAACGTGACCATCAAGTCTAAGAAAAGCAGATAAGCGTAAGTCAAGAATATATCAGCAATTGATGCGTATGTGTATTTACATATTTACATATTTATATATATATATTTATACTCACAGAATAAAATAAACACGTTCATTAATAAAAATCCTTGGAAGAGGCTTCCCCTTATTTCCCCTTTGGGGGTCCGGGATGTGACCTTCTTTTTGAACAACAAGAGACGCCACTTGTCCTCACAAGCCAGCGAAGAACTTTGCCGCCTATCTTGGAGAATATTGGAGATACCGGGAAAGTGGTACAAAACTAAGCATGAAACATGGGGATATAGTGGTGATATTGTGGGGATATGCAAATGGAAGTTTCTTTAAAATGGGAACATGCTGGGGATGTGCTGGAGATATGATGGGAATTTTCTGGGACTTATAAACCATACTGGATTCCACAAACAGGGGGACCCTGTTTAAATCACCACTTGTTTCCCGATCAAAGCCCAAATCGGATGATTTGGGCGTCCCATTCAATAAACCCCCAGCTTGGAAATTGATAATCCTGCGGAGAAATTCAGAAATTTCAGCCGTTTTTCAGTCTACGTCGACAGATTTCTGCCGCTGCCTGGTGTTGCTTTGGATTTCCACCTGTCAGCGCACAAAAAAGGCATCAATGGATGGCGGTTCAAGACGACATCTGGTCTGTTGCTAAAGGTCGAGGAATTTGAAAGGCAATATTTGCAGCTCAATGTGTCAGTTCCCATCTCTGAAGGATGGAAAAAAAAGTCCCACTGGCCTGGCACCGCCTTTTTGCCTTTCTTTTTTTCTTTCCGTCTCTTCTTTTTCGGCTGTTCCTCCCAAAATGTGCCATGACCGAAGCTTCCAAAGCTCCCGCTGTTTCTTTTATGATGTTGCCCAAGGCTCCCCAGAGTCTTGTGAAAACATGCAAACTTCTTTTTCGTGGTATGTTCCAACTGGTGTCGGAAGACTCATGCCATCATTGAATGCAAGTTATAGTCTCAAACAAAACATCATGATATATTCTGATCATTCTCATTGTCCATCCTGACCAATGATTCCTAAATCAGAAATTGATCCAAGTATATCCAAGTATATGTTTTCCATTGGTTCATTATGCCCGTGAATTCTTGCCCGTGAATCCCAGCCGCGCGGCTCCGGGCTCCGCTCCGCTCCTCCTCGTCGCTGCTGTCTGGCTCTGCCAGAGTTTCATCGTCGCCCGCCTCGGCGGCCTCGGCCTGGCAACGGGAAAATGTGGATTCAATGGCCTGAAAAATACCAGCTGGATACACTCCATTTTAGGGTCCTGAAATGCCCACTGAAGTGTAAAATAGATTAAAATAGTATGAATGGATACACTCTGCTTAAAGTATTAACACAATGTTTATGACGGGATAATTGCTTATCATCATTGTTGCATTAAAAATGGTTACATTGTCATGTACTGATGATAATGGTCCCATGGTGATAATGGTTATAATGGCAATAAGGTATGGATCACAATCTATTAGCATACCCTATTTGGGGCGATGAACATCCATAAATCCCAGCTATTTTGAGGTCATCAGCACATGTTTTCCCCAAAAAGATAGAAAAGTAGTTCCAGGATGGTATACTTTTGGTGTTTTCCCCATGATTTCAAGGTTTCCAACTTGTTCAATCTATTTGGGGGGTCGCTATATCATATAGTAGTGACAATGGTGATGTTCTGGTTATCTGTGGTTGCCTGTGGTTATCTTATACATAAATTACTCACGGGACCGAAAAAAATGTCTTCATTCATAACGGTGATAGTTGATAATAGTATATGATATATAGTTGTACTGATTAGAATGGCTATATGTTGTTGCAATGGTGGTAATCGATCATATAGTTGTAATGGTCAAATTGTAATTCTAATGACTGTAAATATCTGTAAATGAGTGTATAAAAGCCACAAACGCAATCAAATCTGCCTGTAGAACGGGATCGCAAACCCAGATACAACTGCCAATGCCAGCTGGAAATCAGGTTACAAATACCCCAATGTCATCCAATCACTTGAGTTGCCTGCCAATAAAGATGGGATGTTATTTCATGGCCGGAACATGTTTTGGTCCCAACAGAAAACGTTCATGAAATGGAAGTAACCTACAATGCAAGCATCCAAATTTCAAAATGATCGCAACATTCATAGATTGTAGGTGCATAAAGCATTTGAAAACGGATCAAAACCGAGATAACAAACAGGATTATACGACCAGGCATGACGCAAATATAGACCCCGCACTTGCGTTGGATTCTGTTCCTGAAAGTGCCCAATCTTTTGCCAGCGTGGCTTTGTCCAAAAGTGAGGAGACACCCAAACCTGTAATACATTGTAATACCATTTTTTGGGAAGCCATAAATCCCAGCTATTGTGAACAAAAAGGGTACCAGGGGTTTAACTGCCATTTTGTATTTAGGGGAAAATTATGATCACTGGATTGTTTTTCCGCCTCGAAGATGGATTTCCAGGACTCGCCATTCAACAGGCGACGTGCTGCCTGACGGCGGTTGCAGTGGGAAAGACCATGGCAGTATCTGTTAGGGGGAAGCCTGATCTCTTTCATTAGTTTTTGGAAGTAAGGTCATGGCAAGATAATTTTATATTATGATCAGCTTTGAATTTACAGCTTTCACTGATCTGTTGTCCTGATGAAATTGACGACGAGCGTGACTTGGGCCAGTTTGTGTCTGCAAACCGTTTCCCTTGTGGTGGTTTGAAGCCGACATTCTTGTAAGATTTCACGGAGGTGCATCTAGAACTTGCGAGAAAACAAAGGGGGTTCAAACGGGACCTGGTTTTTGGCCCAAGATGGTGGCTCAAAAAGCTGGCCAGCAAACGAGTTTGAAATGCTGGTCGTTGTGAGTTGCTAGTTTGGTATCCCAGTTCATCCTGCATGTGTGCCAGAATTTCAAGGAGTTCTGACCAGTTGCGGGGTCCAACACGGTGCGGGTACCTGCACAAAATGTGTCTGGTCTGTGCAAGGCTTTTGTGAAGGCACGCTAGCTTTTGTGCCAAACTTTGGCCTTGTGTGGCACTGAACCTTTCTTTCAGATACCAACCAGAATGGACCAGTGGAACAAAGAAAAGGATTGCTGTTGGTTTCAACTGCTTCATCACACCAACTGGTTGACATGAGGACCAACTGGCAACGATACTGCTGTTTTCAGGATTTGGTGGTCTCCCAGACAGGATTATATTCTAGTATCTGCTGTCTCTGTCTAGTTGGCAGATGCTCTATCCCCATGTTTGTGTCTGAGTTTGTCCCTGACCAAGGTCAACACACCTTGCCTAAAACATCACAAATCTTGGTCGAGTTTTGCTGCAAAAAAACTCCTCATTTGTCTGTACCCTCTGGTACTTGGTGGTTCATCCCAGTTAGTAAGTGGATTATAACCCCAGTTATAAGTGAACTAACCCTACTTAGCCCAGTTGTAACCAGGGGTATAACCTACTTACTAAGTGGGGGTGAACCACCAAGTAATGGATCATGGCAATGGAAAATCCCTCAGTTCGTTCGATGATTTTCCCGCGACAGAAACCTCCATCTGTGCCTCAGTGGACCACAGTTGTACCGAGGGTTTGCCATGGGATGTTGAAAGCATCTGCGCGCCATCCTGCGGAAAAACGATGTGGATGGAACCAGGGATCTAACAAGAAAAATAAGAGAAACTAGATGTTGAATCAATGTGGATGGAACACAGACTTGGGGTTCCAAAAAACATGATGTGTTTGAACCAAGTGTTCAAGAACAAAATGTTGGGGCAGAGGTCTTTTGTTGAGCCATCAGGATCATGGTGCTCTCCCGATGATGGTTTGATGATTTGATGGTTCACAACTGGGATTTCTCCATCACCATAACCTGGGCTTAAATCGCCATGGACATCCACAAATCAAATGGTTGCCGGTTCATATCCCATGAAATCATATGCTGTTCTTCATACCCCTTTAATCTCCATGAATAGCCCATTTGGTTAGTTGCTTACCCACTCTATCCCCATTTATATCCAAAAAAATCATATTAGGGATCCCCATGGCTTAAATCACCCATATCCCCACCACATCCGAGACCAGGTCCAGCGAAAGGCAGCTCCGGTCCTGCGAAAGCGCTAAGCGCTCGATGGGATAGTCTGCAGCGTCTTGCCTCAGCGGATCAGCGAGTTG